TCAAGGATGTCCTCAAGACCAACTTGAAAAACTGCAACATCTACATCAACTCATGGGAGACTATAGCCCAGGACTGCCCCAAATGGAGAAAGAGTCTGCTGCAAAGATCTCAGTGCTTTGAAACCTTACAATGACAACACAAGATGGAAAAATGGGAGCGGCAGAACCAGTGTGTTGCAGACTGAACCAAGAATCCAGAGCCACCTGCCCCTCACAGAAATATGTACCTGAGCTGCAACAGAGTCTCTTGATCCCAAATAGGCCCTGACATCCATCTTCAGACCCACAGATAAAACAATTATGGAAGACAATCATACTCACAGATTCGTAGAAATTTAGGGCTGGAAGGGACCTTGTGAGATGATCAGGTCCAGCTCCCCTGCTCTGGGCAGAAAAGACTGCTGGGGTCAAATAACCGCAGCAAGGTGTATGTCCAGTCTCCTTTTGAAGATCTCCAGTGTAGGTGCCTGCACCGCCCCCTGCCTATTCCAGGGTCTGGTCACAAAAACTGTGAAGAAATTTTTCCTTATATAGAGTCTGAAACCTTCTTCTAGGAGTTTGTGACTGTTGCTCCTGGTTTTCCCTTGGGGTGCTTTGGTGAATAGTTGTTCACTTAGCCCCTGATGCTCTCCCCTGACATATTTGTAAGCTGTCACCAAATCCCCATGAAGTCTTTTCTTTTCTAGGCTGAACGGTCCCATATCTATCAGCCTTTCCTCATATGGCTCGCTCTTCAGGCCTCTAACTTATGAATGGCTCTTCTCTGGACTCTCTCAGACCAGACTTCTCCACATTCTTCTCAACTTCGAGGGATTGCCAGTAATGATGTGCTGAAACATTCAGCTAATATCCCTATCCATTGCCTGCAGTGGTAGATTACCTTGGGGGTTATGTATCATTCTGGGGAAAACTAAAGTTGAATCTTAAAAAGTTTCAGATCATCCCTCCCCTTCCCATGCAAATAGAAAGTAAAGAAATTGAAAATCTTCTGTAAGCTACTGACCCATATTATCTGTCCCTCTCTGTGTACCAAAAATAAAGCATATGAGTCTTTGACACTGGCCAGATACAGAACTTATATATCTTGATCAAGCCTCCGGTGTCTGCTCCAACATATTCTGTAATGCAGGTCTGAGTTGCCCATGCATAACTCCTGTGGCATATTGAAAATTTATGGACAGTGTAAAATACATGGAAACAGTCCATAATCAAGACCTGTATTTGAATCGGTATAAAAATAAATAACTTGAAGAATACTGCACTGATTGGACTGTTTATTTAATTAACAGTCAAAGTTTCTGAGGCATCTCAGAAACTTCAATAGCATTGTCAAATTGAGGCTTGCAAAACTTCAGATTACATCAGGCCATGGATGGTAATACTTATCATCTGTTTTTCTGCACACAGAAGAAACAAGAGAAGGCTGTGAAGTCTTTTTCTTCCTCAAGCATGAATGTGTATTTTGGAAGTGAATGTGAAACATGCCAGGAAAAGCAAAAATAGCAATACAGCCAGGATAACCTGTGACTAATATGTCCTGGTTTTTAACACTAGGGACTATGAGGAAATCTCTTATGGAAATTGTTGTTTTAAAACAGTCGTAAATAAGTGCATTTTAGCATTGATCTCAGCAACTGGAAAAGGGAGGAAGACATTATCTGCCATACTGACTGACACTAGGGGAATTTGCTATAAATCCATTAGGCCTTGATCCTAAAAAGCTGGAATAAGATATGCCAAGTAAATTGACAGTGCAGTATATAGCGCGATTTCTAAGGGCTTGATGTAAAGTTAATTGACGCTAATGGAAACACTCTAACGTTTCAGCCCCTAAATGAAAATCTACTGCATTGCTAGGGTAGTGGAGTAGGAATATGATCCAAAGAGTATCTTTTAAGGCCAGCTCTGTAATTTTAATAGCTTGTAACACAATTTTAGGGCCAGGACAGTTTTTTTTTTATATGTTTATAATATTGCAAGAATCAGATGATCTCCTGGCCTTGTACACAAATCCAATGATGATGATGCTACTGGGATATTAATGGTGATGGAAAACATGAATCTGCCCCTTTTGGTTGCAAAAACTGTGCCAAAAACCATTGTGCTTCACATCTGATGAAAATGTGCCTAATATATTTCAGAGCACTGAGTGCTGGAGTGGATGCTTGTTCTTGCCTCTAGCTCCACATAGTGAAACTGGCTTTAGAACCTTAACATAACAAGCACAGCATATATTGAAATGCTTCTTGTTGAATTTAGAAGATTATCATCGTGTAAGATTGATGTTGTAATTGTGATTATCCAGAAATTATGTGAGAGGCAAGGATTTCTTAGGGTGATATATTTTATTGGACTAATTGTACATACAGTTAGTGTGTACAGTTGGTCCAATAAAAGATATCACCCTAAGAAATCCTTGCCTCTCACAAGAATATTATCTGTAATTGTGGATATGTATCTCCCAATATTATTAACACTGAGAGCTTCTTCCAAAATATGAGGGAACAGTCAACCCCTGATGGGTTTTTTTTTCCTTGATGGAAGAGAAATTACTTAGGTCAGATAAAAAACATCATTTCCTAATTTAATTGACTGACAAATAAACACACCTTTGAATAAAGATACTAGATGTCAGAAACTAAGTGGAACTCAGTTTCTTGCTGATTTAATAATTACTTTCATAACCCAAATAACCCAGCCATAAGGAATTCCTTCCATAATTATAAGCCTTGATCACTTAAACTATGACCTACTCCTGTGCTCTTAATATGCACTTCTTAAAGTATAGCCAGGTCTCCTTTTCCTGTCAGAATTGCTTCCCAGAGGATCCTGCCCACCAGTTCCCTGAGTTTATTAAAGTCTGTTTTTTTGGGCTAGGGTCCAGTCAAAAAGCCTGAGCCTGAATTGATTCAATCTTTTCAGGTTAGTCTAACCTGGCTAGGCTGAATCACTTTGTAACTATACAGACATCCAAGACATGCAGGCACATGCCTGCAGTGGCTCAGCCTAAAAGCTGAGGGGCACTAGAGCAGTCCTCCCTTCCCTTCCATAGGGCTGAGCTAAGGGGGACATGGCCAAGCCCTGGAAGGATTAGGGAGGGGTTCCTCCCCCTCCTTGAATGATTACAAGGCATTTATCAGCTCTGTTATCAGTATTTATCACCCCATCAGAAAACAAACAGCTTATCTCATTAGTTCAAACTCTTTTTAAACAAAGAAGGAATAGAGGGACATTAACAGCTGAGCTTTGATTAGCTCCAAAAAGTCATAAGGTGACACTTCTGTCTGCCAGAGCACGGACCGTAGCCAGCATGTGGTCTGCTAGCTAATGCTGAGGTGTCTGTGTAAGGCAGAGAGGATGGGGGATCCCTGCTTAGCATGGAGTGGGGAGGGGAGGAGAGGGGGAAAGCAGGGGGAAACCAGGCAGACGTTGCTGTGCCTGCAAGTCTCTGCCAGAGCTGCAGCCAGGGAACAGAGGGCAGGGGCCAGCTCTGGTGTGGAGCAAAGAGCCCTGCACAGCCCAGAGAGCATGCCAAGATGCTGGAGGAGGCTGAATTATTTTTAACTAGTAAGGGGTCTGGGACAGACATTGCATAAACCAGTTTGAGCAAAATCAGTTAAGTCTGATACTACATTCAACCAGGTTTATCTCAAACTGGTCTCAGCCATTTTCAAACTGGTTTGTATGCACTGAACATCTGTTCTGTTACAGGATTCTGATCACTTAAACCAGTTTATGTGTAATGTCTGTCCCTAGCCTTGAAGTCCAGTGTCTTTATTCTGTTTCTCTAAGCCTTTCCTTAGGATCTTGAACTCAATCATTTCATGGTCACTGTCACCCAAGTTATATTTTGCTTTCATATTCTCAACCAGATCCATCCCTGTTTGTGAGCACCAGAACAAGGACACCTTCCCTCCTAGTTAATCTCTCCAAAAAGTTATCCCCAACACACTCTGAGAATTTGCTGGACTGCCTGTGCACTACTGTTTCCCTCCAAGCAGATGTCTCAATAAGTAAAGTCCCCCATGTCTTTACAGGTCCTGCAATTTCGTGCCTTCCATCAGTTGTTTAAAGAAAGCTTTCTCCATTTCTTCCTCCTGGTTTTGTGATCCATAGCAGATGACCACTGTAACATTCTCCCTGCTGGTCTCCCCTCTGACCTTTACCAAAAGTCTTTAAACAGAGCTATTTCCCAACTCATATTGCATCTCAGAACATATGTGCATCTCCTTTTTATATAGGGCAAGTCCTCCTTTATTCCCCTGACTGTCCTTCCTGAACTTAGGAAGTAATACCTATACACAATAGTACCCCAGTCATGTGAACTATCCCACCATGTCTCTGTAATCCCAATTACTTCATCATTTCTAGGACCTCTAGTACTTCCTGTTTATTTCCGATGTTTCTTGCATTAGTATATAAACATTTCAGGTATCTAACTGATTGTCCCCTTGTCTCCTGGTGCTCCCACTCCTAGGACTACCACTATTGCCTCTCTCTACTAAGTATATATCTGGGTCCCCTGGCTCTTTACTTAACTTTGGTGTTTTGTCTCCACCTCCTTGGAAACCTAATTAAAAGCCCTCCTCACTAGATTAGCAAACCAGTACACAAAGGCACACTGTGTCAACACTACGTTTTATCATATATTTGGGGGAAAAAAGATCCTTATTATAATTTGTGTTTGGTGACCCAGTAAAATCCTTTCCTCTCTGCGGAACTGAAAAGTCCATGTTTGTAAACTGTAAGCTGTGGGTGACTTCAATGTCTTTGATGTTCATACCAGTCAATAGGTGATCAGTTTGTATGACAATAGGACACTCAGGATATCTATGGAGACAGGTACGTAAAATATAGATTTCTACCAGGAAAACAGCCTGATTCTATGTACAGCTTGCCAGAGTATGTTTTATTGCCACAAGGTCATAAATAGCATTTAAACGGTTTTTTGCAAGTAGATTTCTTTGTTTCCCTCATTACATTTTCTTTTTTTTCCCCAGAAACAGGTGGAATCTGACTTTGTTACAGCCAGTAAATTGGCATTGAAGGATGGATAGTTTCAACAACAAAAACACACAAACACTCTAATGATCTGGAGAATCAAAAAGAGAAACACAACTCAATTCGCAGAATCACAGTTCACCCATGACTGAGAGGTGTGACACTAATTTAGGACAACATTATACCTAAGGTACTGCAAGTTGTTGGCAGCAAGTGGCTGTTAAAATGTTTCTTCTGTTGGCACACAGTAAATTATAAAATAAAAAAATAAATGGGGAAAACATCTTCCTAAACTTGAATACAGACAATCAGTACAATATAATATTCCTTAAAAAGCAAGTAAATCAATTTGAACTATAATCAAAGCCAGATAGGAAAAAAAGAATATTAGCAGTCTTTTCAAGCTTTGGGCTTAACCCTGATTCTACCTAAGTGGTCTCACTGATATAGTTAACTGTGCTGTTATTATAGTAAAAGGTCTTTTTTTAAATTGCAGTTATGGGTATCTTACAGATATTATTTCTGTAGACTCAGTGAGAGAACATTTCATTCTAGTGCTAACATACAGGTTACAGACAATAATCCAAATATAGCCAATGGTGTGCTCTTGTTGGGGGAAAAAAAACTAATGGCATAATGGGCTGTATTAACAGGAGTATCAACTTGCAAATGAAAGAAAGTGATTCTTTCACTCTATTCGGCACTGGTGAGGCCTCAACTGGAGTCTTGTATCCAGTTTTGGGCCCCACACTTCAAGAAGGATGTGGACAGATTGGAAAGAGTCCAGCACAAAGCAACAAAAATAATTAGGGGCGTAGGAAGCAAGACTTATGAGAAAAGGCTGAAAGAACTAGTTATTTAGTATGGAGAAGAGAAAACAAGGGATGGGTTTTTCTCTGTGGCCATAGGGAATAGGACTAAAAACAACAACCTCAAGCTTCAGCAAAAAAAAAATTAGGTTGGCAATTAACATAATAACATAGGAAGTAGGGGTGTGCGAAGCTTCAGTCGCCATTTCAATTTGGATAAGGTTTGGCCCAGTTCACAGGCTCTAAATCAATTCAGAAAAGATTCTGAAAAAGATTCGGAGATTTGGAAGGCAGTCTTTCAGGGGAACAGAAACTGAGAAGAGGGGGGAGAGCAGGGGAGGAAAGACTGACACCTGTAGCTGGCCATTGACTGTGATCTTTTCCTGAGCCCCCTTCCAATCACAGTGCTCTGGTGCAGGGACATAGAAACAGCATATAAGCCTCTGTCTGTAGCCTTTCTGTCCCTTTTGTGAGCTGTTTCTCCCTGAGCAAAAGAGGAGTAGGCGGCTGGCCCAAGAAACAAGTGGGCAGGTGGAGATCTAACCGGCACCAGGAAGGCCCCCTATTACAGGCTATCATTTCAGCTATTTTCATCCAAATCTGCCTTAACACACACAAGTGACATGAGTTTTGCTTTCAACAGTTTGAAAAGCAGAGGGTGGGATGAATCTGATAGCCCTTAGTCCTGGGGCCTCCACTTTCTCTCTCTGTCTGTCTCTGGCTCCAAGGCTTCTGCTCCTTTGAGAGTAGAATCCAGAACCTTGGGCATTGCAGCCGCTGTGCCCAACACCTTAAACCACTGCAGCAGGTCCTTCAGTGCCAACTCCAGTTTGGGTTCCTGTCCTTAGACTATCATGCCTGTTACTCCAGCCTTCACCTTGGGAAGGATATCAGGCAGAATTCTGGGGCACCCTGTTATGCGGCCTTCACATTTCCCCTTACAGCCACTCCTGTCCCACCAGGCAACCCTCAGCAGCCAATTGCCGCTGACCAGGGGACAGGAGGGTGGAGGGTCCCCCAGTGGCCAATCACTGAACCCAGATCTGCCAGCAGTGAAACTTCTGATTTCATTGACAGCACTTCTCTTGGTGCAGGGGGGCACACCGGTGCTTCTCTTGCTGCAGTGGGGGCATGCCGGCGCTTCTCCTGGCACCCCCACTTTTGGGGGCCAATCTCAGGGGGGCACATGCCCCCCTCTGTGCCTACCCTATGCATCGCCAATGCCCATATCCATCAGCCTTTCCTCATATGGCTTGCTCTTCAGGCCTCTAATCATACAATTGGCTCTTCTCTCGACTATCTCAAGTTTCTCCACATCCTTCTTGAAGTGAGGCACCCAGAATTGGGTGCAGTACTCCAGCTGTGGCCTCACCAATGCTGAGTAGACTGGGAGAATAACTTCCTTAGTTTTGCTTGAGATGCATCAGTTGATGCATGCCAGCATATGGTTTGCTCTGCTAAATGTAGCATCACACTGGTAGCTCATTCATTTTATGGTCAGTTATGACCCCCCAAGTCCCTTTCGGATGTCATGCTAAATAGAGTAGAACCACCGAGCCTATAAGTTTGTTGTGGATTTTTCCTCCCCAGATGGAGCACTTTACACTTTTCAGATGGCTTTGTGAGGCCCTTTCCAGCCCTACTTTCCTATGATCCTTTAAGATTCAAAGGTTTTCTTTGAAGTCCTGAAAACCTGAAAATGAAATTAAAGCTTTGACCTTTTCTACAATACAAACATTTGCCAGTATAGCTATTGTCACAAACCTTTTTTTATATGTTTCTACTTCCTGTATGGCAACCTAAGACAATTGCCAAGAAAGAAGCTCCATCTACTATCTCCCTCTCTGCACATGCATCTACCAAAAAATGTGTGGTCACTTTTTGGAGAGGGCCCAAAGATTCACTCTAGATCTGTGTCTCAACTATGCTCCTGTGAGCTGCGTTGGATATACACATCACTGCCATGACAGCAAACAAAAGACATGTTTTTTCTGAGTTACAGTATATATGGAGCAGCAGTATGTGGGTGGAGCTTGTTTTTGACAGCCATCTCTGGATCACTGTAGAAAAGGTATAATAATATCTCTAGCAAAGACACAGCTTACACAGCAAAACACTTATTTGGACAGTAGCATAAACACAGGATCCCATAACAAAATAAACTATACACAGAAAAGGACCATGTTATAATTGTCATTATAACTGTCATTATAACTGCATATTGTCATTATAATTGCATCTACAGTCAGAGGGGTACCAGTATAAAAATACTGCAAAGAAATCACTCCACTAAGCAACATCACTCTACTGGCAAAAGTTTCTAGTGAAGATCAGACATTAAATTCTTCAGAAACTTATAGGCCACTGCAGAAACCCCAGTTCAATGTGCCACTTTACATTAGAAAACCCATTTCATGTTTTAAAAGTGCAGCTCCTCCCCAACCACAAGCACACACACCTATTATCTAAATCAAAACAATTTAAGGGCTTGAATGAAAAGGAATGTATTGATGGTCTCTACATATGTATTTTTTTTCCAGAACCAAAGATGTTTGTGTTGCTTTATTTCACAAGTTTTGCCATCTACACAAGTGGACAACCTCTTCACAACCAGTTCAAAGGCGAAAATTCCTACACCAGATACATATGTAGCATACCTGGCTTGCCAGGCCCTGCAGGTCCCCCCGGAGCTAATGGATTACCAGGGCCTCATGGACGTATTGGTCTTCCAGGAAGAGATGGTAGAGATGGCAGGAAGGGAGAAAAGGGTGAAAAAGGGAATGCAGGTATTGACTATTCTTGTAACCTAATGAAATAAAGCAATAGCATGGGACCTTCTCATTGTATTTTCTTTTGTTATGTACAGTAATACCTCACTGAGTATAAAATACTAGCAAAAATATAATGGAAAACCAAAACATGTGTCAGCAATAGTCAAATAATTACCATATTTTTTCATGTACTGCACAGACCTTTTCCCCAAACACCATCCCTCCCATACTGGGGTGCACATCTGAAGTGGGAAAGCTGATTTTCTGCCCAGAATAGGAATATGGAGATGCTGTAAAATGGCTCCTGCTTCTTTTCCTTCTCTCCTGCTAGTGACCACATGGAGGAAGGGGCAAAGTCTAGTCTTCAGCAGCAGCCACTGTTTTAACTCTTTCACAGCTGAATTGAAGCAGAGACAGAGCCTAATCTTTATCTGACTCTCATCTTTTTCAATAACTCTGGGAAAATTGTTTTTCTTTATTCTGCCTTCCTAAAAACAAAGTGCATGTCTTACATGGGGCGGGGGGTGTGGTATGTAAGAAATGATAGTATTTTTCATTTGTGCTATTACCCAGTGGATAAAAAAATAATGCGCATATATTTGATAAAAAATATCTTAAAATTAAGGAACAATCAGTGTGTAATGGCACTTGTGCAAAATATGCACACATGTTAAACAGCAATAATCTTTCAACACAATGATGTCTGTATTTCAGTCATCTGTGGAATGACTGTATGGGCACATCTACATGTCACCATGCGGCGACATTGCTATGGCACTGTGCTTTAGTACTTTTAAAGTAAAGCACGACACAGTACAGGTGGCTACTGTGCCGGGCGCACAGCGCATGGTTAGATTTGACCGTTACATCGCCATAGCGGTGCACTATACCACGGAGTGTGCAGCTACAGCGATGTAGCTGGTAATCAGGTGTAGACACATGCGATCACTACATTGTTGTAGCATGCTGTACAGCGACGTAGCGCATCACTATGTCACCATAGGGCAATGTGTAGATGTGCCCTATATATAAAATACTTTGGCATGAAGAGTTCTGTGTGAATGTAAAATAGTGTAATGATGTATGGAACTAAAAAGTACAAAAGATCAGGAGTAAAAGACAATGGCCATAGAACTGTAAAGGATTTTTTGCCTCACTGGGTTGAATGCCATTTATTTCAGCTAACCTGAACATTTTCATAAGCTCATTGTGATCCACATCATCATCATCATCATCATCACAAACCTCATTATTATTATTACTATGTTAAAGTTTCGTAACTATGACTGACCTAAGGGTAAAAAAACAGTGAAGGGAACTTGTAATTATTCCCAAACTAACACTACAAACATAAAAAATTCAGGATTAAGGCTAAACTTTAAAGAAATCTAAATACATTAAAATAACTATTCAGTTATTATTTGTGCATTATTCTGTTGTGTATTCTGAATTACCTTATATTAATTTTAAAGCCACATTGTAATAATTTTTCCTCATGTTATCTCAGCAGCACGCAGTTTGGGGTTCTATATGTCTGACCTGACTATTTCCAAATCTTGGCATGTGTCAGGGCAGTTTGGGAGTCATTCACCTGTATATAGTTATTTGTGTGATTATATATTTGCAACGGTGAACACGTTAGACAATACATAAAAGAAGCCAAGAGTGGTCAGAAACAGGACAGTAGATCAAGTGTGTAAAAATAATGTTTTGCAGTCACGAGACTGAAACCATGTACATTTTTGTCCCTCCTTATAGAAACATCCTTTTCTGAAACTTTCCTATCTTGTTTGTGCCTGAAATATCCCTAATCAGCCAAAGGACATATCAACATTTATAGGATAAAATATTTCTTATTATTGCACTTATGCTCTACTTCTGCCCACTTCTAGCACTACAGTTTCTTTGGTTTAAAAAAATCTCACCTGAATGTTGCCACTAGTGTTTTACTTAAAATTACCATTTGCTTTAGGGATATCCAACATATGCAGCAATTACAGTAATATGTCACAGAGATATAAGAAAAGCATACTTTAACAGATCAGATTTAACAGAGATTTTATTTATTTTTAATACTTAGTTTCAAATGCTTATGCTGTTTTGTATCTGGCAGATTTAAAGAATTACCAGTAAAAAGTGTCTTTTCCACCAGAAGTCACAACATTTACTAATGGCAAGAATGTGGATGGTATCTTTTATTGCGCTGATTGCATGGTTGAGATAGACTTATACAAGCTCTTCAGCATGGCAGTACCTTTACTCAAATCTCGAGAGAGTACTCAAAGAAAGGTACTGTGGTATCTGAAAGCTTGTCTTAGTCTATCTCAAGAAGTCAGTTGGTCCAATTAAAGATATCACCCACAAAAATCCTTGCCTCTTGCATATTTCCTGGACTGTCACAGCTACAACATCACTTCAATACTACCAAAACATTTGCTAATGGAATTTTTAAGTTTTTCTAGCTATTTGCAGTCATTGTTCTACACACAGATCTTCCATTTGCATCAATGGAAGATTTGCATTTAAAAAAATAGCAGGATGTACTCTTTAGTATAAAGAATGCATTTCACCCTATTTGGTATGTGATTAATTTTATGCATCTTTAAATCTGTGGCCATGATATAATATTGAATTCCACTCTAAATATATTGTGTTTTAAGACCTCCTGAAATTTCACATTGTATATTTGGTGTTTAGCCCACACAATCATTTGTTTTACCAACCAACAAAGAAATTGTCTATGTGATCATTAACTACCTTAAAATGTTTTTGAAGGTTTTAGAGGCAAGACTGGGCCTCTAGGAGCAACTGGAGAGAAAGGAGATCATGGAGAGATTGGTAAAAAAGGACCTACAGGATTGGTTGGTGCCAAAGGCGGTGTAGGTCCAGTTGGACCAGCTGGACCTAAGGGAAATAAAGGAGACCGAGGAGAACCAGGTGCACCAGGGGTCTGTAAGTGTGGAAGGATAGTGCTGAAATCAGCCTTTTCTGTTGGCATCACCACAAGCTATCCACAGGAAAGATTACCAATTGTATTCAATAAAGTGCTTTTCAATGAGGGTGAGCATTACAGTCCTTCCACAGGGAAGTTTGTATGTGCCATCCCTGGTATCTATTATTTCTCTTATGATATTACCTTAGCAAATAAGCATCTTGCAATTGGGTTGGTTCATAATGGGAAGTACCGGATAAAGACGTTTGATGCTAACACAGGAAACCATGATGTAGCTTCTGGATCCACGGTGATATATCTTCAGCCAGAAGATGAAGTATGGCTTGAAATCTTCTACACTGACCAAAATGGTCTCTTTGCAGATCCCACTTGGGCAGACAGTCTGTTTTCTGGATTTCTGTTATATGTTGATACAGATTATCTTGATGCCTTATCTGATGATGATGAACTGTGATATAGGAGATGATCCATCATGGCCAAACTGGACAGTCTAGCAAAGGATTTGATCTGTATAGGAGATAAAATTGTAATGATATTGTGTTTTATTTTTGCTTTGATGGGATAACGAGTTGTATATTGAAGAATGTTTCCAGATCTAAGCAAGACACATTACCAAATAGCAGGGATAACAAAATGAATTATATACTAACCAATGACTATGTCACTCCAGACCTGAATCCTATTGAAAGTTATGGTTATATTAATATTTAAACAGAGTTAAAATAATGTACATTGGATTTTATAAAAAATATATTGAATTATAAAGTAACTGGTACAGTGAAATTGACTTATTAAACATCTAGATTTTTGTATTTGTTATTAAAGTAAAATTATATGTCTGACATCATGTCTTTGCTCATTCCAAGGAGATAAACATGTAAAAGATACAGGTGATAAGAGATTTAGAGAATGGACTACAACAGGTGTTGTATGCCAGAGTGTGGCACCCAAAGGCATTTTGCTTGGCACGCGTGCCTTGGGATGGATGGCGAGGGGGTCCACAAGAGGGCCAATCCTTGTTGTGGCATTGCAGCCCTGGCTCCTTCCCCACGCTCTGCCTTGAGGTGCGTGTGCACCTGCTACCAGCAATGAGCCAGGCCAGGGCTCCACAGACCCCAGGTTAGCTGCTTGCAGCCTTTCTGCTGCCTGCTGCAAGCATCCCAAGCTCTGTGGTGAGCACATGCACCTTGGGGTGGATGGTGGGGAAGGGGCTGGGACTGCGCTGCCACAACAAGGATCAGGCCCTTTCTTATACTGCCCAAAAACGTTGCTGACCCCATGGAATACAATAAATTGTATAGGTTGCTTCTGGGCAATATGGACTCTAGAATGGCTATTACTGTATTTCAATCAGAGTCTGGTGCTAAAGATATATACTTGGATGCTGATGTATTGTAATACCATGAAGGTTTACACCAGCTGAGGATCTGGCTCAATGACATGAGTTAAACAGGGACCAGAACCACAGCTCTGCACATCTTCAGTGGTTTAAAAAACTGGCTGAAAGAACTCAAAAGTAGTTTTAAGTAGGGAATCATCCTCCTGTAAGGACTGTTTGGTGTAGTCCTAGTAAGGTTTGTTGTTTCTGTAATATTCAATATTTTTATCAGTTATGTGACAGAACATTTATTGTAATTGTAATTTATTGTATTGTAATTGTTTGCAGATGACAAGAATTGGTCAAAATATAAAGTGAAGAGGATAGGTCCATTATACAGAATCCTACTGTAAACTTGAAAAGCAGGCATTTTAATACAACCATCCATAATTAAAATGAATGTAGGTCACACATACTGAGGAACAGTATTCTGTAAACCAGTAACCTTGAAAAAGACCTGTGGTCATGGTGGGTAATCAGCTGATCATGAGCTGTCACTGTGTTCTCTATCTATGAAGAGTATGGACGTACTGGATGTGTAAGCAGTATCATTACAAGTAGAAGTAGGTTGCATTACCTCTGTATGCTGATAAACTCATGACTGGGACACTGTCTAGTTTTGGTATCAACACTGAAAACAATTCTGAAAAATTAGAAAACCTTTAAAAAAAAATTTAATATTAAGTCTGGAAAACCTGTATTCTAGTAAGAGACGTACAGTTGTAGAACTATGCAGCTTGTCAAAGAAATGCTTAAAAGGTGAATTGATTATACTCTCCAATAACCTACAACAGAAAAAATTCTGGGAGTAGATGGAAATTTATTCTAGCAAATGGGCATAACAAGATCCAGCAGCTGGAAATGGAGGCCAAATAAATTCAGACAGGAAGGCAGGCATAAGTTTTTAACAGCAGTTTTTAACAAGTAACAGTAAGGGTAATTAATCATTGGGACAACTTACCTGACATGTCCCATTGAAGGGCATCTCCATCAATAGATGTCTTTAAATTGGATGTCTTTGAATGGGTATCTAGTAATGCTGTATCTCAAGCAGAAGTTATAGACTGGATGCAGTAGTTAAGTCAAACTTTCTTGCCTAAATTAAGCTAAGATGATTGAAATGATCTCTTATAACCATGAAATCTATAGCTGCCCTGGAAGGCAATGGCAAGCCTCCCATTAAACTCATTAGGACCATGACCTGACTTTATGATTAATATAAGAATCTTACTTATGCAACCAAAATCTTTATTATAGCAAATAAGGGAGCATATGCAGTAATCAACTACAATAGTGTGTTTATATTCAAACAGAAA